CGGTATTAAGACTCTACTGTCGCGGGAACTATTGGATTTTAGTCGCCTCTTACGACAGGCATGCCTTACCGCGGGTAAATTCTTGAGCACCTAACCCGCAGGGGGGAAGAAGGCTCTATTGTTTGGTACTAGGTTTAACTCTCTTGTGAGTCTTAAAATTGGCTTTCGAATATTGATTTTTGTCAATTCAGCTGGTGATACATTCCAGCTAAAGCAAGCCTTTTACGCCACCGACTTTAAGAGTACCCCAATTGAACTGTTGATTTATTTCTAGTTACGTTCGCTGGCATGAAGTACGCGTTTCATGCTACCAAAGCGCAGCGGCGGTGGCGGCATCGTAAGTCACGGTTAAACTAGAAATGCCACAAAGAGTGCTCCATTTTTGCACTCGCTGCATATACCAAGATCCGAACGCTTCCAACTACAAAGCGGACATTCGAGAGCAGTAAGTGTGGAAGCTTTTGTCGCACCGCCTTTTTTTTTGTAGCCGAGTAGCGATCGCGCGCCAAGCGTTGCAATTCGATTTGGCTATCTTCGTGTGAATTATTGCATTGGTCATGCGTTGCTTTGCAACTTTTTTATTCCCCTTTATGTTGTTTGTTGTTCCACTATGAAACTACTTTTCCAAAAGCCAATCAAAGCGACTTTCCTAAGAACGGTACGACCAAACGGCGTCCGGTCGACTACAACACCGTCACAGCGTCACACCGTCCGCCGCTCACCGTTCTGCTTTTATGCATGCAAATTGGGTGCGTCTTTGATCTCTTAACGCTGCTGGTGACGAATAAATTAAGAAAATAATGCAATGTTTTGTTTTTTGTTTCTGTTTTTCTTATTTTTCTTCGACTTTTTTTTATTTGCTGCTCTAGGTATGGGCAATCGAGGTCTTTGATATTTTTATGCCGTGTGCGGCGTATGCCGTATGTCGAATGCTTTTCGTTGCTTGGCGAGTTCAAAATGTGACCAAACGCAGAAAATGTCTTTTCAATTCGGCAATGTGCACTTTGTCATAAAATATAATGAAGCTCAATGTTGTTGTTGACTTTTTTTGAAACAACTGCTCGTTTTCTGAGTTCGTGGAAAATGGCCACAAAATGAAAGATTCAGACACATTCGCTGAGTTTTATTGTCAGTGCGTGGGGTTTTTCACTAACTGATTGTTGAATTGCTTTTTAAATATTTTTAAGTTTGTACTTTTATGTTTTGTAGTTGTAAATGTATGATTTAACTACGGGGTTATGTTGTGGGTAGTGTAGTGGTCCTTCATGCAACATTTCGGCGTACCAGAGAGATAATAAATGCTTCCACCGGCGGGTACTGCATCGACCCGCCTTGCAAGGCTGGAGCATTCATATCCATCCGGACCAAATGACCAAGACGGCTGCGCTGCTGTTTCTTGATTCCCTGAACTATGTCAATGTCGCCGTATGTCCCGGACAGCTCATCTATCCCTCGGCTGCGGTAGTGGCCATTACAAACTAGTAGAGGATCATAAATCTTACGCCAAAACTTTCTCCTGACGCCGACTCATGATGTTGGCACGGAAACGATAAGCGACTTGTACAGTTTGCTCTTCGTTCGTCGAGTCAGGACTTTCAATTGCCTACTCAGTCCAAAGTAGCACCTGTTGGCAAGAGTGATTCTGCGTTGGATTTTAAGACTGACATTGTTATTGGTGTTAATACTGGTTCTGAGATAGACGAAGTTATCTACGACTTCTAAGTTGTGATTACCAACAGAAACGTGGGAGCCTACTCGGTTTGTTTGATGCCAGGAGATATTTCCTCTTGCCCTCATTCACTACCAGACCCATAACCTTCGATTCCTGATTCAATTTAAAGAAAGCAAAACTCACGGCGCGATTGTTGAGGCCAATAATGTCAATATCATTGGCGTCCACCATCAGCACTGCACTCTAATAACAGACTGTACGTTCTCTGTTCAGCACTGCAGCTCGTATTACTTTCTCCAGCAATACACAGGATAAAGAGTCACCCTGTCTGAAACATCGTTTTGTAGGACTCGGAGAGGACGTTCCCGATCCTGATCGGTGTTGTACTTGCTTGACGTCAGTTTTCATAACCGTACAAGTTTTTCGGGGATACAAAATGCAGACATGGCGTCGTTGAGGCAGCTCCTTTTTGTGCTTTCGCTTTAAAATTGACGAAAAAGTGGTCGGTAACGATCCTCTTTACACGGGTATTTTCCGGTCTTGTCAAAAGTTGACTTACCATGGCCAAACCCACACTGATAAGGTCCAATCAGTTTGTTTACTGTGAGCTTCAGTCTTTCACACCTTGTCAGTTCCTCACCCACCATCAAATCATCTTTGAATAGCTCTGCCGGTAGGCCGTCAGCTCCCGCTGCTTTGTTGTTTTTTAAGCGGGAGATTGCTATTCGAACTTCTTCTTGGCCATTAGAACGTCTTTACCATCGTCATCTATTGGAGTTTCGGGTTCACCATCTCCGTGTTTTCCAATTTCCCCGCCATTGAGCAGGCTGGAGACGTGTTCCCTAAATAAATTCAAAATGCTCTGGGCATTGGTGGCTAGAAAACTTCTTTGTGCCCTACCGAAGTCTGCTCTAGTCTTGAAACCTTCTGTAAGCCGTCATCACTTTTCGACCATTACCCTTGTCGGCCATCTTCTCAAGCTATTCATACTCATGTATCTCGGCCTCTTTCTTTTTTTTGTCTGCATATGCGTTTTGCCTCGGTCTTCAGTTCTCGGTATTTATCCCATAACGAACGTGTTGCAGTCGATCTAAACGTTGCGAGGTAGGCAGCCTACTTTCTCAGTACTGCAACACGGCAGTCCTCATATCAAACTTTCTTATTATTGCTGTTATTACGTTAAACTGTACAATGAAATTTTCAAAGGAGCTGGATTCTGAAAGAACGCCTAGATCATGTAGAAAACTGCACCCAAAAGAAAGGCGGTGCAGTTGTAGGCCAAAAACTGCTAAAATCGTATGAGGGGGAGAGGAGTACTAAACAGAGATTAAAAACTGGATATCAAGACCATATTAAACTTAGCAAAAGCATTGACTCGACGACTACTCGAATTAAATATATTCAAAGGGTTTTTATGAGGTGCAGTAAATGGGAAGTGTAACCAACTGAGGGTTTAAACTCCCAAAACTCTTTTAGGTCGTGATTCAAGCTATCGAAGACGAAGTTCTTCCAAATAACAGAACGATCTTATACCGATATCATACTGTGCTCTGATCGCATTGCGAAAAGCAAATGCAAGACAAAGAGGGTCAGCTATGCACACACACACATACAGCCACACATTGACGTAGTCATTAACAACATCAATGATTGATGAGATTTACGAGACTGCAACAAATAAAAGTAAAAGGAAACAATAAAGCAATAATGCAAACAAAACAACAACAACAACGACAATACAAACTGATTTTCACACAATAAAATGCGTTTAACACATTTTACAACAAAACTGATGCTGATGATGATCGTAAAATGGCATAAACAATTGCAATAAAGAAGGAACCAACAAAAAATAAAAAATAAAAACCATAAGAAAGGAAGAATAAAGCAGAAGCACAATTAAACGGGGTCACATACACGCGTACATCTTTAAGTAGTAGGCTGAGAATGTGAAATGTGTTAACAAGCAGGGCAACAATGGCTGAGACCACCAGGAAGCGAGTAATTTCACTTTTGTTGAACCGAAAGGATGTGCAGTGGGGTGAAGGGCACCAAGAAAATTGCGTATTTGCAAATTTTTATTAATCCCTTTTTTGCATTCTCATAATGAGCTTCTTGGGGTTTTTAAGCTTTTTTTTTACTAATTTTTGAAATTTCCACTTGTTTACATTTTCTGTCCGCCCTTGCATTGAGCAAAATAAAAAACAGTTATGAAAATGTGGGTTCAGTAACCGCAAGATTTAAAAATGTTTGGTTCAAAAAAAGAAAATTATTTTCTAATTATTTAAAAACTAAGTGTTTATATTATTTTATATAGATTATAAAAAAAAATTTTAAAAAAATATTTTCTGAAAGCTGTAAGTTAATTTTTTTCTCTTCTCATTCAAAGTGTTCAGATAGCGGCCCAAATATAGTCAAGTCATCCTTTTAATACAGTGCTTTCCAAACTTTTATTTGGTTTGACTTGGCTTGGAACATTAAAGTTTACCTCAGACAAGAGCCATGAACTGTAAGTGATCCGTTACGAACAATGAGCCTAACATTTCTCTACGACTTGTGAGAGTAGCTAGATATAGAAGCCTTAAACGGTTGGTATAGGGAGGAAGATTTGTCCTAGAATTCCATCGGTAATGTTTTAACGAAGTAATTAAAAACTGTTTTTGTATAGACTCTAACTTCTCGGAGCGAGCCTGAACCATTTTGGACTCACCAAGGTCGTATGAAGGGCCTTAGTTACATAAGAAACTTTAAGTTCATTTGAGTTTCTTTTGTCAAAGGAAGTTTTAAAAAACATTTTTAGCTTTTTAGATATTGATATGAAGATGGAAGCTGAGTTTAAGGTTACTCAAAACCAAAATCAACAAAGTTGAAGACTTAGTACTTATGTATATAAGGAGAAGGTTAACAAGTCTTCGTGAAAAGCACATGATCTTACACTTCTTAAGGTTCAAAGGCATGCTTCTGTTATCAGAACTTGTTAGAACTGAGCCAAAAAAGCATGTAAGATACGTCTACTTATCTACATAAACTTTGATTTATAAATATATAATTTTTGTTTTTGGTTTTTATAAATAAACATGTTTTTGGAGATACCAATCCTTAAAGCCAATTATCACAATTACGATCCTATCGTTATTTTAAAACACCCTCCAACCTACTTGTCATATATGACAATTAGCATTATTTTTAATTCTAAATAGAAAAATATAAAGATATCGGCATGGCCGAAGACGGTTCTTCTTTCTTGTATTTTTCTCTTTTTGAAAAATCATTTACTATTTGTATTAAATTTCCTTCTTTCCTTTCTGTTTTTTGGTTATATTTCCAGTTGATCGCGCCATGAGTCCTGCACAGTCTGAAGATTCCGGTCTGGCACCCGATCGTGGCACTACATATGCAACAATAACATTGCCACGTGACAGCGCCACTAATATGGGCATCACATTTGCAGGTGAGTTTTGTGAGTTCAGCAAGGGAAGAGCGGTTCAATAACCTTGAAGGCGCATCACCAGGAATTTCTCACATTAAAATTATATGCACTTTGCTGTTGTTCACCGTAAATAATCGACTAATTTAAGAATCATTATATAAGTGTGTGTTCCAACTTTTGCTTTCTATATGTCTGTATGTTTTGTATGCACGCGTCGCATTCATCCACTCGTGCTACGCGTTAACCCTTTTTCGGTAATCACTTAACCCGCAACAATTAGTGCCACATTTTCTATATTTATCCCTTTCGAAGTACATATTTATGCACATATATACATACATACGTACATGCACATATTTATTACGAAATAGTATATTTTGAAATCTCAACTCGCAGCAAAAGCCCAGCTGACTTCCGGCGCGCACATGTGACGAAAGTGAAGGGATGCTGTAGAGTCTCTCGCTGGTGTGTTTGTGTGTGTGTGTGTGTGTTGTGCAATAAGTTCGAGTTTCAATTTTCAATTTCGTTAGAAATTTGACAATCCAAATCTCCGTGAAAGCAAACGCGTGTCCCAAAAAAATAAAATAAAAAAAATTAAAAAAAACGTACGACAAAATGCTTCAGCTCAACTCATTTATTTGATTGATTGATGGACTGACAGCATAATCTGCAAGCATTTGTGTGCCGCTTGAGCTCGCTGCGCAGGGTTGCAAATAATCATCATATCAAAATAGTTGTACATTTAATTATTAAATTTGACAGTTTGTTGATGCCCAATAAAATGCTCATTTGTAGCGATTTAAGTGGGTTGGAATTTGATGAATATTGGGCGGGCTGAGGGCGAAAGTTTAAATGATAAGAATGAGAATAATAAAAAAGTACACATACATACACACGCACCGTATAGAAAATTGTTTACATGCATAAATAGCCCATATGCACACACACTTACAAATACATATACATACATACAATTTATAAGAATACTATGAATGAAATGCAACATTGTATACAAAAGTAGGTTTGAAAATTATAAATTTTTATTTTTTTTCTCAATGAAAATTCTTCGAAAAATTCCTTTGTTTCCCATTGGTTGTTGATGAAAGTCCATATGCATCAATTTCCGGTTTATCTTCTGCTGCTGAAGTTATTGTAAATACCAATTTTTATGAAAATGATTTATTGGCGCGCATCTTTTTTGCCATAACGGAACTCTTTGTATGCTGATCGTTTAAAAAAATTGTTGAAAGAAAACAAAAGCAATTGAAACATGCGTACGCGTATGTGTGTTTAAGAAAATCAACTAAAATTTTATTTTTGGAAAAAAATTGTAGGCGAGCAAAAATTACACATCTCCCATTGAACCGAAAAGTGCAAACATCTATCTTTGCGGATGACACATCTATTTTATGCCGGCATAAATGCCCTAAAAGAGCAGCAAAAACGATTAGTGATCATTTACTCCTCATAGAAGAATGGCTAAAAAACTGGGGAATTAAAGGTAATGCACAAAAGTGTAAACACGTCACATTTACTTTAAGACCTCAATCATGTCCTGCAATTCGCTTAAATGGTATAAACATTTCCCAAGTAAACGATGTTACATATCTCGGTATACACTTAGATAGACGACACATAGAGGCAAAAATACTACACAGTATGAAATCCAATTTGGATGTACGGTACTCAACTGTGGGGTACGACCTATGTAACTAATATTGATAAAATACAGCGGCTCCAGTCCAAAATTTTAAGAGCACTAACGGGCGCACCATATACTAAATATTCATGAAGACCTTGGTGTTTTACTGGTTAAGCCTGAAATTGAAAAAAGCAGGACGAAGTACTTCTCAAAGCAGAGAAATCATCCAAATCCGCTAGCTAATGCTTTATGCAACCCATCGAGAAACTCCCGCCTGCAACGAAGAGATGTTCCCGCCTTCTAAGGAGAGCGCCGTAGTTTGAAAAGGGCTCAGAGCTAAATAACTTGAGCTATCATGTTTGTAATATAGTTTTTAAGATTTGTGCACTTACTGTTAGGCTTCTATTATAGCAGATCCAGTAAAAAAAAAACCTCAAAAAAAAATTCATTTTGAATTTTTTGTTATTTTCAATGAAATACCTCCGTAATCAAATGGTAAACACATACATATGTATATCAAAAATGATAAATTTCCTTACATTTAACATTAATTGTCTTTTTTTTAATTCGGAAACAACTTCAAGTCTCTTATTTACGTGCAGATTCACTTCTCCACAACTGTAAAACTTTCTTAGACTCCGCCAAGCGCCGGTTTTTGTGTATCTGTGCATAGCAGGGATATTCTTTGTACTGATGAAAAATACTTTTTAACCGTAAAAATACTCTTATTTAACTGAGAACATATGTTTTTAAATTTCACTCACGAAACAATTAAGAACATGCGCGTGTGTGTGTAGCGAATTTCAAAAATTTATGCGAATCATAAATCATGGCAGAGTTTAAATGAAATTAATTTATGTTCGCGAGTATGATGACAATTTCTACTGAAACACTTAATATTTTTTCATAAATGCTTCATTAAACGGGATTTGCCATGAATTTATTATTATTATTTTTTGTGTTTTTGTTTTTGTTTTTGCTTTGATTTCGAATAGCACGTTTGTGAGATATTTTAATTATGTTGTAAAGAGATTTCAAAGGGAATGCTGACTGTCTCAGTAGACAACTACATTCAATTTATTTTTGATTTTATTTAATAATATTTTCGAATCATTTTTTAATTTATTTTATTTTCCTTGATTTTTATTTTTATGTTGATTTTAGTTATTCTATTTAATTTTTGTTATTATATTTTAATATACACATATATATATATATATATTATATTACATATTTTTGTTTCCTTTTTTATTTTAATTTAACCATTAATTTGTGTTTTTTTTTCATTTCTATTTATTCTCCTTAGTTTATTTAAGTGTTGTTACTCCTTTAATTTCTTAAATTATTACTTTTTTCACAATATTTTATTTTAGTTTAATTTATTATATTTTATATTAATTATTTTTAATTTATTATTAATATCTAATTTTATATATTAGTTTATATTATTCTATTAATTTGCTTCATATCTCTTCAATATTTAATTTTTTTATTTTGATTTCTTTAATGTTATTTTTTTATATTAATATAGGCTTCATTTTATTTTGTTTTTGCGTTTTTTCTTTAACTTAATTTAATATTAGTTTAATTTTGTTTTTATTTAAGTATTGTCTTTTCATTGTATTTGAAGTTAAATTTTTTAAATCTATTTAAATTACTTTAATTTAATTCATATTAATAAATTGTATTTAAGTCTATTTTAATTTAATAAATTTTTTTTAATTTTTTTTTACGTAATTTTTTTTATATTTTTTTACTTAATTTTCGTTTAACTCATTTTTTATTGTTTTTTTTTATTATTTGAATTTATTTATTTTAGTTCATTTTAGTTAAGTTATGTTTTTAGTAAAGTTAAATTTTCTTTATTTTTTTATTTCTGTAACTTTAATATATTTGTTTTTTATTTCATTTTATTTTACATTAATTAATTGAATTTCTGTTGAATTAATTATTTTAATTTTTTTTAGTTGATTTAATTTTGTTTTTATTGCCTATTTTTATTATATCTTTCTGTATGTTATCCTTTATATTAATCTATTTAAGTTCATTTAATTATAATTTACTTTTTTAAAATTGACTTTATTGCTTTTCAGTTTACTAAATATAAATTTTTCTTAAATTAATTTAATTTTATATTCTGTTTATTCATTCGCGGTTATTTAATTAATAAATTAAATTAGTTTAATTTTAATTGATTTCATTTTATTTTTTAGTCTTATTTTTTTGTTAATTTATTTTTATTATTTTCTTCAATTTATTTTATAATTGCAGTTTTTATTTTAATTAAAATCTGTATTTGGTATTTCTTTTTTTAAAAATACTTTTATTTTATTTTATATTACTTGAATTAAAGAAATTAATATAACATAATATTAATTTACAATTACAGTTAATTTACATTTTAGTTTATCTTTATTTATTTTTTTATTTTAATTTAATTTAGTTTATTTTTTATTTTAAATTTTTATATTTTATTTAGTATTTAATTTTTTAATTTAAGTTTAATTTAATTTAATGTTACTATAATTTAATTAATTTATTTAATAAAATATTAATTTACAATTACAGTTAATTTACATTTTAGTTTACTTTTATTTAGTTTTCATTTTAATTTAATTTAATTTATTTTTATTTTAAATTACTTTAATTTAATTTATTTAATAAAATATTAATTTACAGTTACATTTAATTTACATATTAGTATATTTTATTTTATTTTTATTAAAGCTAAATGATTTTAATTTTAGTTTTAATTCTTTACATTTTATTTAGTTATAGTTTTTTTTTAATTTGAATTTATTTTATTTTATATATAAATTTATATATAATTTTAGTATATTTTTTTTTTATTTTAATTCATTTTTTTTCTTTTTTTCTTATTTTTATTTTTATTTTTTACATTTATTTATATGTATATACAATAATTACATATGTATGTATGTGTTTATATTTGAATCCGAAATTTTCGAGATATTGCTCTGCTTCTTTTCTTTTCGATTAAATCATTTCTTAAATCCAACTAAAAACTTTTTCAGCGTTTGATAAATTCTCATGATGCAATGGAGTTCCTCAGCATTACCCTATGAATATATTGAATATTACAATAAAATTGAACTTATAACTGATTAAGAGATGTCATAAATTAAGCTTGCAGCTTAAATAAATCATATGCAAAGAGATTTCTAATCTCGAGCAGGCGGTGAAGAGCAGCTGCTGAACAGTAGACGCTTCACGACAGACGCCATGCGCCGACACTGTTGCTTGTTTTTTGTTGCTGCTACTGGTTGTTTTTGTGTGCTTGCTACTGTCTACGTTGTTCTTGCAACCCTAGACCAGCGGGCGGTGGGCGCGATGCAGCGAGATTATCACTGGCTGGTAATGATGCCCAGTTGCCATGAATCAACCGGCTGTAGTTAGAAGAAGAATAAGAGTCAGCTGGGCGGCGCTGAGAAATTTGGCTTGACAGCAACGAGCAAGAAAATATTTTATTTTTATTTAAATTTAGTGTTATTTTTTTTAGTGTCTTTGTGTTTTTCTATTATTTTACTCTGCTTGTCTTCTCGCTATTGACCGCATGTCTAGACAATCACAACGCGCCGAGACGAGACGCAGCGCGATGCCAAGCGACGTATCATCCATGCATGTCAGCATTTGTTGCCGAAATCGCCACATGTTGGATGAGAAATCACAGTCGTCGCCGGCAAATTGAAACAAAAAGCCAAAAAAAAAAAATATTCGAAATTAAAAAAAAAAAATAAAAAAAAGAAAAATAAAAACAGTAAAAGTGGCGAAAGAAAAACATAAACTGGCAAGCGGAAAAATATGTAAGAAAAAGTGCGAGTATTTGCATATGTTTGACAAAATGTAATAAAGAAGGCCATACATACATACATACATAATATATATCCACATATGAGTGCTTTGTGGGGCTAAGAATGGGGGCGTGTATACAAGCAAACAAATTTCCTGCTTTTGCCACAGTGACAACACTTTGGACTAGTTTCAAATGTTTTTGTTGTTAACTTTTGCTTGATTGTTATTGTTAGAGCATATTTACATATTCATTTGAATATACTGATTGCTTAGCCATGTTAAGTGTGGGGGGATGCAGACACATGTGTATGTATGCATGTACATATACATATGCAATATATACATATATGCAAATTTATGTACAATTGAAGGCGGCAGCCAACACTGAATCATAAAAAAATTTTGGCTAACGTTTTGGCAATTATTTTTTGATGAATAAGAAAGGAGGTTAACAGTTTGATTTTCACTTCGGAAAAGTTATTTGGAAAATCAGGTTTTAGTGTCAGGGAAAGGGCTACTGCTAACTATTACTATCAGGTGTACAACTTTGCTTCCGCCGTTTTTTTCCCAAAATTAAAAGCTTTATTGCGAAAAAGTGCTTACAGATATATTATTCAAAGTATTGTCCTTCGCTAGCGACAACTTTCTCCCATCTTTCCGGCAATTTTTGCATCTCGACTCGAAAAAAGGAATTCTCTTTTGACGCTATCCATGAAGCAATCCATTTTTCCACTTTTTCGAATTGTTGAAAATGTTAACCTGCCAGGCCGTGTGCCATCGAACGGAATAGGTGGAAGTGAGAAGGGGCGACATCTGGAGAATACAGCGGGTGAGGCAGGACTTCCCATATCATCGTTTTCAGCTACTTTTTGACCACTTTTGCGACGTGAGGCCGAGCATTGTCGTTTTAGAGGATGACTTTGTCATGTCGCTCTTGATATTGTGGCCGCTTTTCTTTTAGCGCGCGACTATGGCGCATCAGTTGCGTTCGGTTGCGATCTCCTGTGATGGTTTCACCCGGTTCTAAGAGCTTGTAGTAAATCACACCGACCCCTTCTTTCACTCAGAGCAGCAACAGCGTAAGTTTCTGAGAGCATTCGATGCGCTTCAGCTGCATTTTTTTTCGAATTGTAACAGAAAAGTAAAACTTCCCGCAAATGACGAGAATTAAGCACATAAACGGACATTAAATACATTAAAATAATAGATTTTTATGAGTTCCCTTCATAAACTCAGTATAGCCTGAGTTACTAAACCACGTTTGAAGTTATCACAGCAAGAATCTTCGGTCTTGAAACCTTCTGAGTGACACCCCATATTTTCGTAGAATTTTTGGATATTTCCTCAAGCTCTTGAATACTCGGACATCTCAGATTCTCGCTTTTTCTGTCTGTAAATGCGTCACAAATTCTCCTTCATTGTCTTTCTCATACTGAGATAGGCCGAATTTTTTCCATTGCGGCACGACAATCCTCAACACAATGGCTGCAGGTCCTTTCCCAGCTTGCCTTTCCAACGAAGTGGAGGTTTTCCTCTTCCTCTGCTTTCACTGGCGGGTACTGTATAGAAAACTTTCAAAGCTGGATTATTCGTATCCATCCGAACCATACGGATGTTTCTTTGATTCGCTGAATTAGCTGTTCCATCGGCTTTGACATTCGTCATTCCCTACTCGTCAAGGATGACAAATCTAATGCAAAACCTTTCTCTAGAAAACCCCGCAGGTCGACTTATGATGTTGTCACCGTCCATGCCTCTGCGCCATATAGTAGGATGGGTATGATGAACGACTTGTAGAGCTAGGGCTTCGTTCGTCGAGACTCGTCGTTTTCAACTGTCTACTCAGTCCGAAGTAGAACCTGTTGCTAAGAGTGATTCTACGTTAAATTTTCAGGCTGACGTTATTATTGGTGTAATACTGGTTCACAGATAGTAGAAGTTTCCCCATCATGATTAAGGTCAGTTTATACCGAACTCAAGCATAATGGCGTAGAAGCAGCTCCTTTTCGTGCTGTCGGAGGCGGTTTTAAATTGAACGAATAGGTCATTTCCATTATTTGACGCTGATTCCACGTTAATAAGGCCCAATCAAAATGTTGAGGGTGGGCTTTAGTCTTTCTCACTCAGAGACAAATAGTAATCTCTTGGTTCGAGGTCAGGTCTTTAGTGTGCATGCATAAGAGTCTCTTAACCAAGCCCCTGCAGTTTTTTGGCGAGCCGCTGTCGATGTGTGTGGTCTGGCTTTCTCCTGATTAGCCATAATCCCCTTCCTGTTGACAAAAGCTGGGCGATTCTTCTGTGCGATTGCTTCTTTCAAAGAGACGAATTAAGAGTTTGGCCGTAGGGTAGCCGCTCATAGTTGATCAAATCTAGCCAAGAGACCGTTCGCCTCACTGTCCTTCGATCACGACCGTTTTCGTTTGACGTTGATCCTAGGGACCCACTTTTCATCACAAGTCATCATCCGCTTCAGAAACGGATCGAATCTCGGCCTGCGAAGGGTACTACGCTATATTTCACTGAAAAAGGTTTCGCTTATCTTCAAAAAGGGTTTTACCGATTATAATTTATGTAGAAAAAACTGTTCTGTGTACATATATACTGCACATGTGTATATAAACACATGAAATACATAGTATATGCCGAAATTTAAATTTTTTTTCTGCACAAAATTTTGGCACTCGGCCATTTGGCTACGTCGCATCGAGTCGTTTTGGTCGCATGAATGACTTGATTTGTGGCAGGAGGAAATGAAAATTTATTTTGGCTACGCATAAAACTCAAATAATCAAATTTCACCGTTACGCAGCGAAAGGTGTCACATATAATAGTCTCTCATACCGGCCCAGGTAGTTGAATTATATGGACAAGAAATAAACACACAGATAAAAAGCCAAACAAACATACATATAAACACAAATACGAGTGCATATGTATGTATGTATGTATGTATGTATGTATGTATTTTCCCATTTGATTGCAGGCAATAAAGGTGTCTGTATAGAGTCTTATGCATATATTGAACACTTCGTTGCATTCATTAAAAGGGGCTAAAATAGTAACGGCAGAAGCAGCAAAAACAGCAATAACAATAATAATAATTATAGCCCAAAAGGCGAACGAGACTCGACGAGAGAGTTGCCGCTTTTGCTTATATTTTCGGTTGCATTCATTCAAACGGACATACATATATATATGCACGCATACAAATATACAAATGCATGCATAAATAAGCAATAAAAACAAAAACAAAAACAACAAACACTTGTCTGCCAAATAAATAAACAAATCACCAGGCAGGAGATATTGCAAGGCAACTTGGCTTGCAACAGCCTCACAAGTGCACTCATTGACACACACATACACACCCACACCCACACCCACGACCAACACATCTCAGCACACCGTACAGCCCACAGTGCTTTTCTAATGATTCTACCACAAATTACAAACGATTCTTTACGGCTTCCACATCTAATTGGCAATTTTTGTTTATTTATTTATTTAACAATTCTTCTTCTCTTTTCCCACTCTTCTCATTGCACGCACGATAACAACGACAACAATATCCTCGACATATATTGCATTTACACATTGCGCTTGCGGGATCGATAGAACGCAACGACCTCTCGTATCCACCTGTTATCGGCTCGCTTAGTCCACTGGGTCATGCTGCGGACTTTCTAGCGCCCGGCGATCGTATTCATCAAATTGATGGCATCTCAACAATTGGGTTGAGTAATCAACACGTCATGAGTATGCTGTGCGGCGCCTGTGATGGCACTGGTAACGGCTCGGCCGGTGTTGACGGCTCTGGCGAGGCACGCGGTGCGCCTGCTGTTGTGGAAATTGAATATTCTCTGCCCGAATATAGTGAGTATGAGCCAGATTTTAAATTAAATATTATGATTATTTTATATTTTATCACTTATAACTAAAATTAATTAGTTAAGTGACTGTGTCAGACAGAATCAGAAAAATAAAAAGTGGCACTGTTTTTTATTTGAAAAAAAAAAAAATAAATAAAAATTAATTAAGGTGAAAACAAATAAAATATAAACAATAAAAAAATTAATAACACAAATTTAAATAAAATTAAATTAAATGAAATTTAAATGTTAAATAAAATAAAGCAAAATGAGTAACAAAAATAACAATTAAATCAAATATAAAACAAATTAAATAAATTCAAATAAGTTAAATTAAAAAAGAAAAATTAAATTAAGTTTAATTAAAATAAAATAAAAATGTGAAATGAGGTAATAATGAATGAAAAAATATACATCAAAACAAAATAAAAAATACTCGGAAAGAAAGTAAAATTAATACAAAATAAAAATGTCAAACGAAATAAAAAATAAATATAAAAATTAAAGGAGGCTAAAGTAGTATTAACTGATGCGTCAAAGGCAAATATAACAATAAAAACAATTCTTATTCTTCTTTATCGGCGATTATGGCCGAATTAATTTCATCCCTTTTATATGCTGTTTGGCGCCAGCTGGAAATTCCAAGAGAGGCCAGGTCACTCTCCACCTGATCTTTCCAGCAGAGTCGAAGTCTTTCTCTTCCTCTGCTTCTACCGGCGGGTACTGCATCGAAAACTTTCAGAGCTGGAGTGCTTTCATCCATTTGAACGACATGACGTAGCCAGCGTAGCCGCTGTCTCTTCATTAGCTGAACTATGTTAATATCGTCATATAACTCGTACAGCTCATCTGCTCGTCTGCGGCATGCGCCGTTGTTAATGCGCAAAGGACCAAAGCCGACTCATCAGCTGTTGACATCGTCCACGCCTCTGCGCCATATAATAGAACGGGTATGATGAGCGACTTGTAGAGTTTGATTTTCGATTGCCTACTCAATCCAAGGTAGCACCTGTTTGCAAGAGTGATTCTTTCGCTGAATTTCCAGGCTGGCATTATTGTTTGTGTTAATGCTGGTTCCTAGATACACGAAATCATATACGACCACAAAGTTATAACTGTCAACAGCAACGTGGGAGCAAAGTCGCGAATGCGATGCAATTACCTAAAATTCTTCTTCGGCTTGTCCCATCCATCGCATTTCTTGGATGGCGGTGATGTCAGCCTTAATTCTTACGTGGACATGACCCAGCTCGGCAGCGGCACATTTCCAATTAAGGGACCAGACTTTCCAGGTGCATGCCCTCAAATCATAATCCTTAAAACATTTGCGGGATTCATCATCAAAGGGGAGTATCTCGTCCAAGCCCTACGCACAATCGCATGGGATTCACCTTCTCACTTTAGCTTGCATCCAAGCGCATGTTTGTTTGCTACCCGCGGGATGTTTGGTCTAAGACCGAAAGTCGTGAGGTGCTTGAACCATATGTAAAAGAATCGTTTCTGGCCACTTCCAGGTGAATGGCAGTCAAAGAGTTTGCTTACTTTCGTGAACTTCTACACATGGCATCACCCCCCAAAGTAATCAAACACAATTAATTAATAAAAATATAATAAAAATGTGAAATACAATTAAATTAAAAAAAAAGAATAAACATTTAATTGATCTAAAATACGAAAATTTAATTAAATAAAATACAGCGAAATGAAATTAAATAAAATAATAAATATAAAACATAAATAAATAATAAAACAAAAAAGTAATTAAACTAAAATCAAAAAGAACAAAAATAAGCGAAATAAAAAGAAATGAAGAAAAATAAATTAAGAATAAAGTAAAATTATGAAAGAAAATAAAAAATATTTAGGTAATAAAATAAAATAACATTTAAATAAAATAAAATAAAATAAAGTTAAAACAAATAAAATGTATAAAAATAAAATTAAATGAGATAAATTAATACGCAATAAAAAAAATATATTTTAGTTAAACAAAATTGCCAGCTATAAAATTATACAAATTAAAATGCAACATTTAAATAATTAAAAATAAAATAACTAATCTAATAAAGTCAACTAAAATAAATTATAAAAAATTAAAAAATAAAAGAAATTAGAATTGGAAGGCGAAAAAAATTAAATAAAATGGAAATAGTGAAATTAAATTAAATTAAATTAAAAATGTCAGAGGAAACGAAACTAAATAAAATAATAAAAACAAAATGAAATCAATGTGAGAAATAAACTGAAATAAAATTTGAAAACTAAATAAAAGAAAATAAAATAAATAATTTAAAAAGTAATAAAATTAAAACAAAAATAAATAAAGTAAGAAAAAATTAGAAAAAATAAAATAAATTTAAAATATAAAATGTAATTAAATATTGAAATTAAAAAATTATTGAAAAGAAATTGAAACAAATAAAATATAAAATATTTAAATTTAATTAAAATATTGAAATGAAATAAAATGAAAAATATTAAAATTAAAAATTATTTGAAATGTGCCAGAAGAAAATATCCAGAGGCATCCCTTGCTTTGGAGCTCTATAAGCCATTTTTGTTGCGAAAGACTTTTCAAATTTTTTTAAAAATCAAATTTACAACAGAAAGAAATCTGTAAAAAGTAGAAAATAATATAAATATAATATTAGAATTAATACAAAGTTGGATTAGAGCGCGTCATCATGACAATATTTATAAAAGAGAGAGAGAGAGAGGGAGAGCTATTCCTTCTAACTGTTGGAACTGTTACAGTCTAGCCTATCAGGATTGGTATACAATCAGGAATAACGTTGCATTGGCGCCAAAGAAGAGTGAAGCCCTATCTATAACCTTATCGCTAGCACCAAATTTTTACAATGCACAGAACCCACATCTTCCAAACCCTGATTTTGCAACTTTCCCCAAAAGTTGTTGTCAATCAGACTGGTGATCGACTGAATCTGTAAAAAAAAATTCTAATTTGAATTCCGTTTATATTCTGCTAACGAAGTGTACGTACGCTGAAGTGAGAGATAGTCTGTTCTCTATGGCAATATCTTGCACAGATCGGCATTAGTCCGTTTTAATTAAGAAGTTTGTCCTGGTTATCTCTATAAACCGAGATGAGGCCTTCATGTGAGTATTTATTTCTTCTTCCGTGTAGTTATTTTAAACCGAACAAGTCGAGAGTTGTACAGGTAGCTTAAAATAGACTGTCAAACCCTTCATTTGTTGCAAAAACATCCAGAAGCAATGAGAGCAAAGGGCTCCACCGTAAACCGCTACAGAGCTTACAAAGCGCCAATTACATATACATATATACAAATATTTATATATTTCCACATAAATCAGAATAAAAGTGCCGTTTTCTCACTCTTCCACTTTTCTTTTCTTTAAATTTCCGCAATACTTTACCAACTCGATCCGATCTGTCATCACTTGTCGCTAATGGAATTTCCGATGCATCTTATCAACTGTCGATTTACATCAATCAACACCAAAATAACCAACAACAAAACCGTCGATGTACAATGTGCCATGTGCGATGTATGGATTTAAATCGAATTCCAATGCCATCCCTTGGACTACACGGACGCGTGTTGCTGTGGCGATTGTTTATATGGATTTAAAATTGAACACATTGCAAATGCGCCTCTACATCATTCCAACTCACCACACTGCAGTCTCCCAGAATAGTTTATGCGTCACATCGAAATTAGCGCAGATCACTGTGGAGCGTGAGAGTGGCTGCTTAGGCCTAACGCTACGTGGTGGCGGTGATTTTCCATTGATCGTAACGCATGTACGGCCGCATGGACCTGTCTACAAGACCGGACGCATCAAACCGGGCGACCGGCTGTTGCGTTTGGATAATGTGAGTATATTTCATGAATTACATACTCGGAAGGCGCGGTTGTCAAGTGTGACCGTGTGTGCGTGTGCTCAAAAGCATTTGACAAATCGCACCTGGCTGCATGAAAGCCTCATATTAATTTATATCTTTTTGTCTCTGCTTTTTGTGTTTCGTTTACTTTTAGCTATCGCTCATTGGCAAAACTTTGGCAGAGGCCCAACAGATAATCAAGTGTGGCGGTCACGTTTCCGGTTATACAAATCTTACAGTCGAATATGATGTGTCGGTGGTGCAGAGTGTTGAATTCTCAATGGGTCCCCTTTTGATTGAAATCGAACGTCCGATGAATGATAAATTGGGTTTGGTATTGTGCAACTATCCGGCGGCTAGTCATATGGATCATACGAAGATCGATGAGGTCAGCGCGGCGGGTATTTACATAGCGAGTATAATGCCAGCGAGTATTGCAGACAGGTGAGAAAATGCTTTCTTGGAAGCAATATAGTATTAAAGCAAAGATTAATGTCAATTGCATGTATCAATGAGCTTGAGGTTGCCTGAAAGGGATCGGTAAATCTTGGCGAATACCCATAATACCCAGAATCGTCATGGTTGATCATGCAACATCAAGACTCCTAACTGTTCATCTGCGTCACTACTGAAGTGTTTCCGGATCCATGCAATTCCTGACCTTCCAGCGAGTTTGATACGAAGGAAGCAGGGAGCTATATCAACACCGGCAATACGGATCTGGTTTCAAAGCTTAAAGAACGCTGATTTTTGTCTCGATATTTTGCAATTTATTTCAAAGCTTTCGCTAGTCTTCTAACTTAATTTTTGTGTGTGAAGTCATAGCGGACATAGAACACTGACATGAGGTTACTACGGTACGGTACCAGGGAGAGCAGTGACGTATCCTAAAAAAAACTAAATTTAAAGGCATCAAAAACTCTAGAGACCTCCACGTGAAAACCTCTAGCTGCATTGATAAATTTTTACTAGTCCAGGGTAGTCACAGAGAGCAGTGCTAAAGAGTATCTGCCTATGAGGCACAACTATGACGTGCGGTTCTCAAAGACAGTTGAAAAGCTCGAACTGCCTGCCGACACCCGAATCTAATGGCACAATTAAGTTCTGGATACTGTAGCAGACTCAACTCCTACTTATTCATACTTGACCCTGACATACTTATCGTACATATTACCGGCATGCAACACCACCGCCTGGTAGAACCAACTCAGCTAACGCTTCTCTCCCTCTGGTCCGCACCGGTCGAATAAGCTCGTTTCCTAGAACTGCCTTTAGATGACCTCGTTGACATAAACTTACTTTGCCTGCTTCTAGGCGGAGTTGAGCAAATAACAACTACTACTGCGGAATTCCTTTGACATTAATTTTGAAAGAAATAAGAAAATCCCTCATTACATATGTACATACATACATACATACATAGATACATACATACTTTAAAGCAAATACAAATGATCTATTCTCCATTGCAGATGTGGCGCCTTGTCTGTGGGTGATCAAGTGCTCTCCATTGACGACACCATAATCGAGAATTCAGCCTACAGTCCGGACGAGGTGATGACAATGTTGGATGCGAACACAGGCCGCGGCTACACGCAAATGCAAATAATGCCGGCGCACGCGTTGACGCGAAGAGGTATGTACGCGTATATGAGTGAACAAACATATGTACAATACAAGTATGGGCATGTAGCGGCTAAACAAATGGGCGAGGGGACGAAGAGAGGCTGAATCTCGTGACGCTACTTGTAATTTCTCTCCACTTTTTTGTTTTTTTTTTTTCATTTTGACTTACAGCAACATGCGTTGACAGCTGTGTGCAGACGATTTGTTGACATTTGATGTTGTAGTTGTTGTTACTTTTTTCTCGTTGCTCCATAATTTTCTACAATTTAGATTAGTTTGTTGACTGGAATTACCTCCAGAAATCAAAATTTACAAACTGAAATGAGTAATTTGCGCTTAGATTTTTATTCCGTTAAGTACAAAAACAAAAATGCTTGCAACTTTTTGATTTATGCGTTATTTATGTGTCATGTGACAGAGAACAATGGCATTGTCATGTTACTGACGCGTCGCACGGCACGTCTGTTGACAACATTTTGTGGTTGCAAATGTCGCTTGGCGCCTAAATACATATCTATATATACACACACACACACATATATATATATATATATGTATGTGAAGGGTGATCAAAGGATTAAACTGTATATACATACACCGAAACATATTTGTCAAATCATCTCCACCGCACGCCTGTTCCATCGTCTTCACACTGACCAGCGTGATATAGAACAGACCCCAATTGGCTTAGGAGATCTCTTCTTCTCTTCATTAGAAAAACCTGTGTAGCTATTTTCCTTTACTTCAACAGACATTAGGAATATCTTCATAATAGTCAGACCTCTAAGAAGCAGACGAATGATTATCAGGGTGTCTTTTTAAACAAAGTGTTTGACTGTGCCATGCGGAAAGCTCCGGGTTCATATCCCGGGTCCTAACATTCAGAGGTTATGGAAAATTAATTTAAATAAAAAATTAGGTTTAATTTTCTAGTTGCGGTCGCCCCTTGGCATGGTATGTCTATCCCTCAGAGTGTATTTCGGACATGAAACAAAGCTCCTCATAAAAAGACACGAGCCGTTCGGAGGCGGACTAGTATAAACTGTATGACCCTCCTTTTGTTGGAAAAACATCTAGAGGCCAAAACATAAATTGAAGGAAGAGCTCGGCCGAAAATCTTTTCAGCGCTTACAAAGCGCCAATTATATATATATATATATATATATATATATATATTCGACCTCTTAATAGTGTTACCTTTTGACGTAAAGGTGTTCAATCACTTAGACCGGACATATCCAAAGTATGTCCTGCATACAATGAGTCCCCGCACGATACTCGCCGCCTCTTTGCACGCCTCCCAAATCCAACTCATATTACCCCGTTTCACTCTGGTCCATAGTCGCCCAGTTGGTTTCCCGGATCACTCGTTAGATGATCTCGATGACTTGGACTGATCATGCTTGCTCCTAAGTAGAGCTAGTGAACCGGTCAACAACAACGAAAACATCTTAATATTCGGTAGTGTCTCAAATAGAACTTTACTTAGCTTCTTGAAAGCTTATTAAATGAGTTATAATTTTCGAATCTTGCCTATGAGATAAATACCGTTTTTGATCGGAGCTATTCTGATAATAAATGTATGTATAATCTCATGTTAATATTGTGAGTTTGGGAGGGGTTCTGAGTAAAAGCGTTGACCGTACGGACCCATAGGGACACATTTTTAGTTCGTAACTCAAGAGCGAAATGATTCTTAGATGAAAGATGCTGACATTCTGAAAATCTTATGATTTGAGAGGTTTTCCATGTACAGCTATGAGCGTCAACTCTTTTCTTCTTTGGTAGCGGGATTTGCCATTCTGATGCAGACTTTGTGACTAAAAGTGAGTTTCAATTTTAATTTTCAGAGAACTACAACTGCATGTCACATTCTATTTGCCACTTTGTCTTAAGGGCCTTCGATCTTGGGCAATTATTATGTTTACAAATGAGCGTATGAGAGCAGCTTTAGATATCGGCGTCAAAGACTAACTACAAGTATGGCTTGAGAAACATTTTCATGCTAGCAATTTTTAAGCAATATTTGAATTTTATCCCCTTTTTGGTACGGACTTGTTGGCGATACAATTTTTATATTTTTTAACGTTAAAAGGGTGTTATTATGAACAACCAAAGCTCTATTTTTTAGTTCCGGCTTGGAGTCCAAAATAAAGTTTGCATTTGAAAGAATATTTCTTAGGACGAAGCCACACAGAGAACTTAAAACTTCGTTGACGGAATTGTTATTTATTTAGATCGCTGACAAAAGTATTGACAAAATCTCAAAAAATATTCACTATGAGCAACAAATACAATTATAATTCCAATTATTCATAATGAAAAGTATAGAATTTTTTTTTATAATATTTTAAATTTTAATATTTTTGAAGCTTATTTCTTTACATCGAACTTTTTAAATAAGTTTTAATATATTTAATGATTTTTAAAAATATTTTTTTTTTTTTATATTTTAATACTTTTTACATTTTTCTAATATATTAAATACATATTTAACACACTTGAAATTGCCAAAGCAAGTATACAATAAATCGAAAAATAATTGAATACGATTCTTTGTTTTTTAGCAGAAAATTCATTCCGATTTCTGCTAACTTTATCAGTGGCTGTTATAGAAATCATGGTGAATCCCTTTCCCAGTGTGGTGAATCCCTTTCCCAAAGTTTTTCAGAAAATGTTTGAAGCAAGTTCGATGTTGCAACGAATTTGCACCTCCTCGTTATTATAAGTTCTCTGGCCACATTTGGTTTGGCACGACTTCATATCAATAGTACCGCCATCTTTGTTGGCCGAAACTTCGAGTGCCGGATTGCATTAATGAAAATTTTTGTTTTGGTTTAAGTTAGTTTTATTTCTTTATCGTATTTTCTTTTTTATAATTTAATCTTTTTAACTTAATTTAGTTTTAATTTAATTTAATTTTAATTTATTTAATTTATGAGTTTGTTTTAGGTGTTTATTGAGTTTACTTTGCCTTGTAGCGTTGGTGTAATATTTTATATTATTCCATAAAATAATAATAATAAAGTACTTTGCTTAAGCTTTTTTCATCTCACATTATTTTATTTAAAATTATTTTGATTTCTTTTATTTTTATTCATTTTATTTGTAATTATTTTACTTAATTTTATTTAATTTTAGTTAAAATATATAATAAATATTTATACAATTTTAAGTTTACTTGATTTTATTTAAATTTAATTTCTTTTATTTTAATTATTTTCCCCATTTAATTTAATCTAGTTTTAGTTTTATTTTATTTAAATATACTTTATTTCATTTTACTTACTGTAAGCTGTTTTAATTTATATAATTTTATTATTTTATTTTACTCCTTTTGAAAGTATATTATTTCATTTATTTTATTTTATTTAATTTTGCTTTATTTTATTTTTTTAATAATTTTGTTTATTTATTTAATTTTTTTTATTATGTTATTATAGTTGTTTTATTTAATTTCGTTTCATTTTACCTGGTTCTACTTCATTTTTTAATACATTCATATTTTTATTAACGCTAGTTGTATATAAAAATTTAAAATGTTTAATTTAATTTTTTTATTTCGCTTTATTATAATTAATCTTGTTTTTCTTTTTATTTTTTTACTTTAAATTAGTTTGTTTTATTATATTTTTCTTTTTAATAATTTTATCTTATTTAAATTTTTTATATAAATTTTTCTGAAATTATTTTATTTTTTATTAAATTTAATTTAAATTTCCTCATTTTATTTCATTGCACATGTTATTAAATTATTTTTAGATTTTTTTTTAAATTTTTCTTTTTAATAATTTTATCTTATTTAAATTTTTTATATAAATTTTTCTGAAATTATTTTATTTTTTATTAAATTTAATTTAAATTTTCTTCATTTTATTCATTGCACATGTTATTAATATATTTTTAAATTTTTTATTGCATATTTTATAAATTTTTATTAATTTATTTTATTTCGTTTCATTTTGTTTTATTCTTTTTTTATTTGATTTAAATTTTTTAGTTTTTTCATATGCTTTTGTTTTTTTCGAAGGTATTTTACTTCATTGCAATTTATATTGATTTTATTTTTTTACAATTTCAATTTGTAATAAATTTTTTTATGTCGCTATATTTTTTTCGTTTAATTTTCTTTTGCTTTATTTAATTTTTTTTATTTAATTTTCTTTATTTTATTTCGTTTCATTTTACTTGGTTTTACTTCTTTTTATTTCATTATATTTCAATTTAAGCTACTTGTATATACAAATTCAATTTCAAATTTAGTTGAATTTTTTTATTTTGATTTTTTATTTCATTATTTTTTTATGCTTAAATTAAAATTATTTTATTTTAGATAAATTTATTTTATTAAATTTTTTTCTTTAATCATTTTATCCTATTTAAATTTTTTTATATGTTAATATATTTTTCTTCCGAGGTTTATAAAATACAAGGTTACGACAAGAGTGAAATCATGTGTTTAATGACGATGTTTGTTCAATTTTGTGGGTCGCCGAAGAGTTTTGAAATAAAATTTCTTAATGTTATCTATTAAACAAATTAACATTTGACTATAAAATTCTAAAGCCTTTAATTAAAATTTTGCTAAATTAGTAATAATAAGAATTAAAACGTTCTGAATAGTTTTATGTCGAATAAAAGTATGTATGTAAAATAATTTTAAATCATGATAACTAATAATATTTTTTAACAAAAATTTCTATAGCTAGCAACTCCAACTTTTGGTATCATGTCATACGAATGGCATGGGAAAATAATGTCAAAAAAAAAGCGAAATAAAAAGTATTAATATATTATAAAATTTTTAATAAAAAAGCTTTTGGGTTATGGAAGATCCATATCTTGTGAAAAAATCGTTTTTTAAAAATTCGAAGCGGTGAAAAAGTATGTTGTGGATTATGGTAAACAAAAATTTGAAAAAAAAAATTGTGTGAGTGATTTACATTAAATATGAAATTTTAAAAACATGCGATATTGTAGATTAATCGTTAACCACTCCGTTTTATGATC